CGGATCCGCCACAACCTTCGCCCATACGGGCAGCTCCGTCGAAAAACACCACACCGTCCTTACGCATTGGGGTCTGTCCGCGTGGAGGAGAGGGGGGTGGGCTAAGAAGAGACTGCACCGTAAGACTAGGTCCTGATACAGGTCCGCGCGGAGGCGGTGCCGTCGTTGGGCGTGGTAGGTGGTTAAGGCGTGGAAATGCGCCTGGAGGAGGTAGGGGAAGGAAACCAGCGGCGGGATACGGCTGGTGTTGTCGTGTAGCGCTGCGCAGCGGTCGTTCCACAGTGTACGGAGTGTGAGGGCTCGGATGAGCTGCCACGCTTGGTGGGCCAGGTTGTCTTGGGCGGTGCAGTGGGACATCCAGTTTGGTGAATGGAGTAGCCATGGTGCAACCGGGGTCTGAGTCCCGTGGAGGAAGGAGGTCTGTTGGTCGTCTGTGTTGGGAGGGGTGGTGGGGTCGAACCAGATGCGGAGGGTGGTGGTCCAGAGGTAGCGTGCCCGACCACAGAGCCAGAAAGTGTGTGCGGGACTATCGCTCGCGCCGCAGAATGGGTATTGAGGTGGGGCGGCAGTGGTCCAGAAGGGGAAGGCTTGGTGGAACCACCTGTACATGAACCATTGGAGGTTGCCCGGTAGAGTGGAGGATCCCCTCGTATTATGGCGGCGGCGGTGAAGCCTTCATCGTCTTTGGAGTGGAAGCGCATCATCCATGCTATGCTAGCGAGTACGCGTTCGTTCCGCACAAATACATCCATTCCACGCCAATCCTGTCCCCGACGCCAGGTGGCATGGACTATGAAAAATCGGAGACGCTGACGAAACCAGCTCACTTGAACAAATTGAAAACTCAGCAAGTTAGTACCAGTTAGTAATTATAAAATTATACAGGTATTGCGTGACCATTGCGCCAGGCAAATAGTAACTACAGTTTGGATATTGTCGATTTTCTTGAAATTTCCCAATTTTGCATGGTTTGTTCAAAATAGAGCCGAGACATCTGATTGACCATTATCCACTTCGCCCTGTCCAGTAGAAAGTCGAAAATGGATTGTAGCCAATCAGCGACAAGTAATTTCGGATTCACCAATGGGAGAGATTGGTGCTCGATTCGCTCGTCGAGATTCGATTGAACGGGGTCCGGAAATTCATACCGAATCTCCAATATAATAAGGTTTGGTAAATTTGTTCGAAATCCGGATAAATCCGGATGAATGAAATATGAGACATGTACCGTTGTGGAATTGGAGTGACAGGGAAAAGTTGATAACGTTATTTCCTGGCGTCGCGGACTTGCGCAGCCCCAGATCCGCCTGGCGTAGCACCCTTTGGTCAGCGAGGACGGCGCCAAGGTCAAGTTGACGAGCCCGACCACGCGATTCCGGACCACCTGGCCCATCTTGAAGTGCTAGTCGAGCATTTCAAGGAACGAAAACCTGCGTACCGCCGACTGTTGCACCGCTACTTTTATGCTTGTGGATGAGATAGCAGCGTCTGTGGTTGCCCATGGTGGGGCGCGTTGATTTCTGTCCACAATACATTACGTAGTACTAATAATAGTATGCATATTATTTGCGAATATTTTGAGATATTTTAATGCTGGTATAATACATTGAAAATATTTATTCTCTTTGCATCTTTGCACAATACGCGCAATAATGCAAAAAAACATATTCCAAGCTAACGAAGCAAATGTAGTAGGATCTTGCTGATACTGCACACCCGGTACCATGTATTATTTTAGTATAGTATTATAGGGTGTAATTATTGTACATTTAATAAAATGTCTACACCAGACCTTGCATCTTACACCTCCGTACGCACCTAATTTTCACTTATACACTGGTATACTACATTGTATTAATCCATAATTATACAATATAGCGATAATATACATAGTGATAGTATATAACACTCTGGATTACTAATCCGTTGAGCTTATATTACATGACATACAACCATGTGCACTAACCTTACATTGTATATGCATAGTATAAAATAGATATGTAATATAATAAATAAAGTTTACACTTGTATTAAGCAATCAATATAATTATTAAGCATGCTTGATCAACACGCAAAGAGTGCATAATGCAACTACAACCTGTATAATACCAATTTGGACCATTTTTTGTGCCTCTCTGCAAAACGATCATTTCTCAGTCATCAATAGGAATTTTGAGCTATCGATAGAATATCATGTTTGTAAAAAATGGACTGTTGCAGTTCAAACTTTGTTCTGTGAAAAAGAATAAAAATTCGACGTATTATGTGACTATATATATGTCAGATTGGTAGCCAAACACACAAAAGCTGTCGTTTGAAATATCTGAGCGTGACTTGCAAACGCCACGCCCACAAACAACCAACCCAGGACGTACGGAATGGCGCTGAGGTCGAGCATCGCGGCCCGTCCCAAGCGATCGGCAAGGTTGAACGTAACCAACGAACCTATGAGCATGCCAAGGGGAAGGATCAGCTGGAAGAACTCGGCGTGGTTCACGCGGCCGTCGAACATGTCGACTTGGATGTTGTACAGTCGCGAG